AAATAAATAAAATAAATAGGCTCGGTGCCTGTGGCTCAAGTGGCTAAGGCACCAGCCACATACACCTAAGGTGGTGGGTTCGAATCCAGCCCAGGCCGCCAAACAACAATGACAGCTGCAACCAAAAAAATGGCCTGGCCTTGTGATAGGCGTATGTGGTCTCAGCTACTTGGGAGGCTGAGGCAGAAGACTCTCGAGCCCAGGAGTTGGAGTTGCTGTGAGCTGTGATGCCACGCACTCTACCCAGGGGGATAGCTTGAGGCTCTGTCTCAAAAAAATAAAATACAATAAAAATAAATAAAATAAATAAAACACTTCAGATAAAGTTTAACCTAGGACTCATGTACACTGGGCCTCTCCCCATTTCTCATCTCTGCTTTTCTTATTGTTAGCTTATTGTCATTTTCCTTTGGGTAACAGCCTCCGGACTTTAACCTTCCAGGTTCAAATGCAGATTCAGGGGTCAACCTTCCTTTTTTTTTTTTTTTTTTGAGACAGAGTCTCACTATGTTGCCGTATAGAGTGCTCAGATATCATAGCTTAAGGCAACCTCAAACTCTTGGGCTCAAGTGTTCCTCTTGTCTCAGCCTCCTGAGTAGCTGGGACTACAAGCATCTGCCACATCACCCTGCTAGTTTTTAGAGATGGTCTCACTCTTGCTCAGGCTGGTCTCAAACTCCTGACCTCAAGGAATCTGCCTGTCTTAGCCTCCCAGAATACTAGGATTATAGGCATGAGCCACGGTGCCCAGTCCAGGAGTTATCCTTCTTAACACCTTCCTCCCAAACATCACTGGGACTAGTGGCTTCAGTGCACTGATTGTTCAGGACCAAGTCATGTGTTTCACCTTAACACTGAGAGGGGGGAAGGGGTGGTTCCCCATAGGAAATTTCAGTTACTTTTTGTTTCAAGTCCTCTATATCCAGGAAGCCTTCCTGGATTATGGGAGATGTGGTAAGTGGGATTTTCCCTCCAGCCTAAGTATCTCTTACCTTACACCAGTGTTGACCTATCACTTCATTTCCTTTCCCCACCATATCCTGTTCCCATCTACAGTATCTCAGTTTTGACCACTTCCTGTAAACGATCTTGGAAGTGTAAAATTTGCTCTTTTAATTTCAATCTTTCTTTTTTTTTTTTTTTTGAGACAGAGCCTCAAGCTATCCCCCTGGGTAGAATGCCATAGCATCACAGCTCACAGCAACCTCCAACTCCTGAACTCAAGCAAGTCTCCTGCCTCTGCCTCCCAAGTAGCTGGGACCACAGGCGCCTGCCACAAAGCCCGGCTATTTTTTGGTTGCAGTCATCGTTGTTGTTTTGGCGGGCCTGGGCTGGATTCGAACCCGCCACCTTAGGTGTATGTGGCTGGCGCCTTAGCCACTT